ATTAAACAGACGCAAACATAAAAAATCATTTGCATTTGTAAAAACATTTTAAAAGAAGCCGAGACTTGTAAAATAATTATCGGCCCATTGGGCTTCTTAACCTTAATAATGGCGAATGAATGTGAACTACTTCTTTCTAATGAGAGGCAAAAGCAGCCGGCAGCCTGGATGGTTTCGAATGTAGCTATAGATACTTTAGATTAAAGTTTAATACTAAGCTATAAATGCAGAGATGAATTATTAACAAGCTGTAGTTGAACTCCCCTTGAGAAACATTGTGAAAATGCATCTTTTAGCGGTTATGCCGGAACGGAAAGAAAAAGAAGAGTGAGGAACATCCAAAGAAACAGAATGCTTACAACAGAATTCCAACAGGATAAATAAGCGAAGGGAGTTCCCATTACATCTGGTGCCTACCCTCCTCTTCCTCTGTCACAGTTCTACTGCTGATGAAGGCTTGCTGCTGTAGAGTGTCCCCTGGAGCGTCAGGAAAACCTCCCATAATATAACATCAGAGCCCGGAGAGTCTGAGGAATGATTCTGAAATTTACCCACTAAATAACACTTGATGCAAAAAGCCAGGTTTTTATCACTATTTAGGAGAACAAGACAGACACTCAAATCAGACAAGTCACAGCAAAAGTTCTGACTGTTGCAAATCTTATCGTTTCACTGGAAAACAGGAGAGACCGGTTTCCTAGCTTATGCTCTTTTTTTAAAAAAACAAGTCTGCGAATGATTAGAATTATGGGAAACATCTTTTCCACCTTTTCATCCCTAATCGCCACCTCCTGGTTTAGAAGATTATGTTATTCACATGCCATTTAAATCCCCCCGAGTAAGTAAAACACAAGCTCAGGGTGTGTTCAGATGATCCTCTATTCTACTCCGCAGAAGTTCCTCCACGCTACAGCCTGATCTAGACACATCTCAGGAGCAGAACTCCAGTTTGCTGATGTAAACGGTGCTGTTGGACCAGTAGGTGGAACTGGAAATTTCCTACTAAAACGAAAACCTAAAAAATCCCACAATAATGTTAATCTTTAATACAGAGAAAGCAGGCTCTGTATTTATTCTAGAAGCAAGACGCTCAGGATAGTGTATTTCAACATCACAACAGTGTATGTGGATATTGTGTAATTGCATATACCCTGGAAAAACCTGATGGGCCAGATAGGTCGAAAATATCAAAACAGCAACTATTCTTGACGGAAAATACCTATAACTGACAGCGCTGATGTATAGGATTTGATTTGACGTTCTAAATGCATCATTTTTACATACACTTGAAAACTGAGTCCGGAAAACAGCACAAATCTGATAGTTATCCACACGTGTAGCCATGAATGAAAGGAATCCAAGATTCATAATTGCTTGAAACACAAACACAGCTGTACTACAGTGGATTCACAGAAAATAATTCTGAAGAACGTGGACGAGTTTTGAACAAATGCCTTAAGAGAAACATCCCTGTGTTTGTAGAGGGAAAGGCAGCTCTGGTAAGAATGGTGCAAACGTGGCACACAATTCAAGATATGTACCACCAGCTCATTATATGCAAATGAAGTAAAATTAACTTTCCCTAAAGATTTTCCTATATCTGCATTGAAATAATATAAGCTTTCAGAAGTCTGTGTTTCAAAAGAGCCAGCAATATGATCACAGAAAGCACTGAACTGTCTTCAATACCTCAGATCCATATTTAGCCTCCAATTTGATTGGAACACCAGGAGATTACAAGATCAAGTTCTGAGCATTCTGGTTTTACATGATTCTATCATCAGAAATAAAACCAAAGCAGTGTTTGTACAACTTTTCTAGATTTAAAGCAGAGTTTCTTTCAAATGAAAAGTCTTTTCAGCCAGGGAACAGTATTTTGCAGGCATACACGAGAAGACAATTATAAACATTTGCACATGTACTGTACAGATAAAAAACCACGTTGTTTTTCGAGTAGATTCAGGATGTACCAAACAGTACTGCTGAATAAAAAGGACGAGAGACTGTGGGGTGTGGATTTTTGAAGAAAAAAGAAAAATCTCTGCTGCTGTTTTTCACCTCCTTTAGATTTTTTGTGGCTGCTCCTCTGCTCTAGAGGTGGTAGTGGAAGTCCCCCGTCTGCCATTTTGTGTGTGAATTTTTGCCAAGTGACAAAATCCTTTAAAAAGGCTGGGCTGTCCTTGGAAGGAGAAGAATCTGGTACTAAGTGCCGCTTCCATGGCAACTTGTAAAAAGTTACCTTTAATAACCAGGCTAAGTCAGAAATGGGGTTGCTCTTTTCAGCTTGCTCGCAAGTCTGCTCCCCGATGAAAACACATCAGTACACACAGCTAAAAGGTTCAAGTGACCTCACCTCCTCATTGGCAACCTGTCTGCCTAACGCCTCTTACCTTTCTGTGACGAAAATCGTCCACTTTTGTTCATGGGTGTGTTTCACCCTAGATGAAATGTCACATTGATTTTTAAATGCTGGCACCCACCAATTGAGTGGTGGCACAGCTTGGCATACAGTCCATCTGCGCTCGCAAAAGTCACTTACCCAACTTTCTGAGACCTTTGTTGCTCACGCATCCCGTTTATCTTTTCAGTGCCGTGTTCAGTTGTCCAGAGTTTCTTTAAAACGACCATGAGGCTTCTGCATCATGCCTATTCCCATCTAGTGCTGTAAAAGACCGACGCAAGGTAAAAAGCCCATGACAAGCATAGAATGTGTACTTGATCTAGAGACGATGTTCTTTGCAATGAAAAACAGGGGGTCATCAATCATGTGACCCACCACTCCAGACAGTCCCGTTTTGTTCAGTGGGCTCATCTTCCCTGCGTTCACAGCCCTTTGTCATAGTCAGAGCCAGTAGGAATGACATGTCCCTTGCATCGAGCGTATTAAGAAGGGCGGGTCCTTAACGCTTTTGTCTATTGCTTAAATCCAACGGCTTAAAGTCCATTTCTGAGTACTTTCAACCTTATTTCAAAGTATCAAGGCTCATTTTGCGGGAAATCACTCGTTTCAATGAAATATTGACAAAGAAACATGGTCAAGTGGAACACTGTGTACAAGAAGTGCTGGACGGAAGTTTGTCATCTTTTCTGTTTTTTTTTTAATCTTGCTTTCAGAGGGCCTTGTACAATTATTTATTCAGTTTCATGGCTTGTAAACATGTTTTATATTCATCAAGCCAATTATCCAAAGGACACAGCAGCACAGCTCAAGGTGTGAATAATCACACAGACAGGAACAGATCTGCCAGGATTGGTTATCCATCACTCCATAACACAAATGCATAAATTACAAGCAAAGTATGACTGCTTACTCTTCATTATGTTATTAATAATAAGTTTCAAAATAAGTTTAATGTTTTTTTGTGAAGTCACTTTTCTAAGTGTCGCCTTCACCAATTAAGGGATTTCCTGTTACTGCTGTCCAAACCTTCATGGAAGGGCTTCAGGAAAAATCGTTCGTTCTTCCATCGCAATTCCTTCAATAAAATAAAAGCTTGTAAAAAGTTTAACAGCAAAGACAAGAACATTTACAATGCACTTTGAGACTGGAGCCTTCACTCATTATTATTCAGAGTTCAAACATTATCTAGATGAGCAAGGAAATTAAGATCTCTCATAAGGAGCAACTTCTATTCTTAGTGGAGCTTGATTTATAGAGCTTGTTGGCTCTGTCCTTTGCCATGTATCCTGGCTCTGAAAAATCCACCATACCCAGCTCACATCTAAAGCTCCCTCTATTCCTTTACATGCTCAGCCTTTAAAAAGAATAAAACATGAGCTGCAACTCAGGCCAGTATTTGCACTTGAAGTTTTGCCGTCTCACACTTTGTAGGGGGAAAAAAAAGCCTATCAAGTCCTTAAGACAATCATGAGACTCAGAACCTAGGTTTCTTCTGGAGGTTTGTGAGGACAATTAATGGGTGCCCCTGCCTACACACAACTCTAATGAAACGGGCATCAGACAGATTTACAAAGAACACTTAAAAGATTAATCTGAAACATGGACAAGACAGTCAACACACACAGAAGGCAGCACTTTACCACCACTTTCTGGCCTGTCCTGCTCAGGACTCAGAAGCACAGCAAGGCTGCAGAAAGACCTGCAGGGAAAATCAGGTTGCTGCTATAAGTAGTGTTGGTGAACCGACTGTGATCCTCCCTGAAAAAACAAGCACTTTTTGAAAGAGCAGGCGTGGTTAAATTGGCACTCTGTTCTTGTACAGACTGTCCTCCCTAAATTTCTGCATAAATTTGATTGGTGAACCAATTTCACACTTTTCCACCCAATCTGCTGTGCATAGCTGACACATAATGGATACCCAAGTATCACCCAGGAAAGTGTTGTACTTCAATGGTGGTTGAAGTGCGTCCTCTACTGCATAAAAACTGCTTTGAGATTCTCTGCGCTATAAAACGGCTCATGTCTTTCCTTTGTCATAGATTACACCAGATCCACCTCACTAAATGCCAGCAAGAGCTCTGACACTGCTGCTGGTGCACAAACTGTAGGTCTGGTATTGTAATCAGAACAGATTTCAGCAGTCTGATCACTGGTTATGCGAGGAATAATTCTTCTACTGTCCTATTCAACATCTGAAAACCATTTTTTTTATCTTGCTCCACTTGAATCCCATGTTACATAAAAGAGGTACAATGAAAATAGTTTTGTACACCATACAGAGGTTGCATACCTGAACACATAGCATTCTTTGTCAGAACTAGAACACAAAAAATACATATTGGCCAGATCATACAATGGTCACCTGCAACCAAAATATATAAATACATCTCACATTTAGAACAAAAAAACTGAAGACAACTCATGCTTTGAAACATTTGACTGCAGTTCATGCATATACTGTATACATACAGGTACATGTGGAAAAGAGGAAAAGAGAAACTGGCCAGCCATATAGTACATTACACTGACTGAAATCAGTTAACTACTGAAGTTAACTACTCCAAAACTATCAAACACCTGTAAAAAACTACTAACGGAAGTGTTTGCATACATTTTATTAAGAAATAAAGACAACATACTGGATCCAGGGGTGCTTGGAAAAATAAACTTACAGAAAAGAACCACAACATTGTCTGTGTAGTGGATTAGAAATTATTTGTCATCTTAAAAAGGTCAATTTAACATGCTTTTGCTATATGCACAATGAACATACAGTTGATAATAGAGCTAAAAAAATAAATCCAGTTTTCAAGTTGCCACATCATTCACTTCAATCAATCAATTTATTGAGCACTTAAATGCAGTAGTTACTATATTAATAGGCTGTTAACAACTTATGTAATTTAAAGAGTTATCCTCATCCTTTTGTCAATTTAACAGATAACTGCAAACAGTTCCAAGATGAACATTTGCAAAAATAAAACTTCTGACCTTGCCAACTTCAAAATAAACATTTAAACTTTTATTAACTGCATTTTCAGCCACGGTTATGTATATCCTATAACGGTTTGATAACTGACCACTTCAAATACAAATGTTGCAGGACCATATTTATCCCTTTTGAAGCTTTCAAAGAAGCAGTGCTATATTTAATCCAATCATCTATATAACTGTTGCCCAACACAGACCATTAATAAACACTAACTGAACTTGCAGATACTGTCCATAGATCCCTTTTGAAAATGACAGAACATTCACATGTGTAAACGAAACGCTCTGACCTGGGTAACTTGTTGCATGCTCTTCAGAGATGGGGGAGTGCAACGCAGACATGAATACAACCTGTACTTCGAAGTCAACAATAATGGGGACCCATGCGATCAGCTTATTAAGGGAGCCAGTGCCACTTAATTGCACTATTCAGGGCAGTATTCAGAACTTTACGTTTTAAATATACAAATATGAGCAATTTCAGGACCATGCTTTTACAGATGCCACAGGTTTAGAGCGAAGTGATTTTTATAAACCCTTTAAGGGATTAGAAATAAGCTCAGGTTCGTGACATGTTCAGCGTCCCACTCCTTATGGCAAACAGATCAAGCCAGGATGGCCACTGTGATAAGAGGAAGATTTCCTGGTCTTTTAAAACCTAAAACAACTAAGAGCAATGATTTAGAGAGAGAATACAGAAAGAATTATTGTTATTCAACAATGCTGTGCTGGGGAGAAGTGCTTCACAGGTAATCTTCAGTAGATCATAATTTAATTTATGTGGTTATATTTCTCATAGAAGATGAAGAAAAATCAAAAAGAGGCACAAATGTGCTGGAAAATCTGAAGAAGCCCAACACGTCAAAGGCTCGGCTCACTTTGGTCCTGGGTCCTCGGGCACCAACATGAGGAAAAGGGGAGTTATAGAGTCCATTTGAAATACTTCCCAGTGACCTTCTTCTTTAGGAGTCCAACTGAGTGTAGTAAAACATTACTCCTATCACCACAAAAAACTGCAAAGGAATAAAAGAGGTTTATTTTGGGGGGAAATAAAGAGTTTACGGCAATGGCCATCTGTCCTCAAAGCATCTTCCCATAGAAAGAACTTATAAAAGTATCTGATAAGACTCTCTAACTGATACTGAAACAGATATATTAATAAGAGCAGACAACTGATTTGTTTAAAACCATCATCGTCCTCCCTTATGATCACGCCTCTACCAGCCCAGCACAGCTTGGGTGGGGCCAGAGCTACTTTACATTTCTGGGAAAGGAAACGGGATCATCCACAGCCTAATTTCAATTAAGACAAATAAGCAGACATGTATCATGCCCTTAATACAATCCGACTTCAGTAAAAGGGGTAAAAGTTTGGCTCACGCCTGTGTCACACTGCTGGGAAGAGAAATAGCAGGCTAACACAGCTCTTCAGTTCATACTCACCGTCCAACACAAGATGGCAAAACCAAACCAGGAGACACCCAATCCTTGTCGAATCAAAGGGCCAGCAATGTAATCATAGCAGCCCTGTGGCCAAACACAAACACATTCTTGCTGCACATGACAAAAGCCGCAAATGAAGGAGATCCGCGGAACACGAGGGTGCATCTGTCTCTCTTCCTCTGAAACTACGCAAAAGCTCTCCGTAGAAGAATGAATAAAATATGTGGACTGAGCTTCCCTAGGGCTGAACAATAATGGCGCGATCTCTTGCTGATGAACAGTCATCTGTGACAGAAATACAGTATGCAAGTATAATTCTCAGCCCGCCCTAATTTGGAATGTGTGCATGAGTCAAAGATAAGCTCATAATGGGACGCTCTAATTTCTTTTATGAAGAGGTAGCAGCCACACCATTAACTGTGCCACTCATTAACAAGCACCTCGCAAATCATTTTTCATGCACTTAAGCCCTGGTTCCCTGCAATCAGAGCGATGGTTCTGAACTGCGCAGGTTTGGTAGCGCCAGCGGTTTACCTGAGTGAAGAGGTAGGGCTCCACCCCAATCTTGCAGGCATTCACGTTCACAATGCCTCCAGTTCCATCCTGCAGACAGCACTGTCTGGGCCAGGGGTACTCGGAGTCCGAGTTCTGCTGTCTGAACTGGGAGTTGTACTGCAGCCAGTCCTGAGGTCCATATACACCACAGCATTGGTACTGAAAGGAGGGCAAACTGGTTAGAAGCTCCAGCTGCAGAAGAAAGATATTTTCAGCAGTGTTGGAGGGAATTCTACCTTTTAAAAACATGCCTTTAAGCTTTCATGACCAAGACGGAATGGACAGACCTTTGCCTGAGACTTTGCTATTCTCATTAATATGACTGCAACCTTTGAGACTTAAGACCCCCAGCGATGAAGGTGTGCTGGTCAACTCGCCTATTCCTGAGCCCAGAGCACAATAGCTAGAGCCAAGCAGAAGTATCCAACATGCATCCCATCCACATTTACTAGAAGAAAAAGAAACAAAGCAGTTCTCCTTACTGACAGTTTTCCTAACCCTGACCACACAGCCCCAAGCACTTACAACCTGGACCTCTGCAGTCTAACGTGAAAGAATACCTCAGTCATGATCATGTTCCACGTGCTGGTAATGCCACTGTTCTTGTAGATTTCGTCCTGAGTGCTTGGCAGATTTTGGGGCAGTGGCTTGTTGTAGTTCTCCAACATTTGTTTAAGGAAGAGATTCGGAACAAACTATAACAAAAACCCAACATAAAAAGTCATTGAGACAAAGATAACATTCTCTATTATTGGAATTCTATATTTCCATTCAACTTTTTCAATACAAGACAAATCTACCCTCCAAGAACGAACAATGAAAGTAATGTTCTCTGTCTTGACATTCTTGTTTACTCATTAAGTTCAACTAAAGACCACTGTTATGCTATTAAAGTAAGGGACAGTTATTGACTGCAGGAAGTGAAACACACTCACTTCTCTCACAAGCAAGGTTCTCTGTACCTGCTCAACCCAGACAGATGCAGACTCAACTTCCAGAGGTAAAGCATGATAGAAGGAAAAAAATATACAGTACAGTATATACCCAGTCTTTGTGTGTCGCTGCTGTGATGGCAGATGCCACTTCAAAAGCAAAGATGAAAATCATCAGTAGAATATACTGTAAAAAATGAAAAAGAAAAGTCATCTGAACAACCACCTACATTTCTGTGACTATTTTCTATATTTGTTTGTATATTTTCTATATCTGATGTTTCTAATACATCAATTCCATTCAACATTTGCTACCCATCTAAAATATGTTCACAGGCAAGGCAGACACCGAGGGGTCCCTTAATTGGGGAGAAGAAAATTAAATTAGCCCAGACAGATTAAAGCCCTTTGTTAGCCTTGGGGATAAACCACTAACAAATGAAAGTCAGTATATAGCAGTTGAGAAAGTGATATATAGTTTGATAAAATCTTGCTCAGTTCTGTTGAATAGACTACATCAATGATCTACAGTAAGAGAAACTGTAACAGCCCAGTTTAAACTGAGCCAGGGTCTGGACTGGGACTCACCACAAGCAGGAGCCCCCTTTTGGACTTCAAGACGGCGTACATCCCAAACACAGCCGTGCAGAAGAGAGCGAAGCCCGTGAACAGGCCGATCCAGGCCGCTCTCCAGATGCTGTCATTGCCCGTAGCGTACACCAGGACGTACAGGTGGTCCCGATCAAAGATGAAGAAGATGCACATGGCCATCAGCGCAAGGCCACAGCACTGAAGGAGGGGATGAGCACAATCAATACATCAGCATGGGCCAGCACTCTCTCTGGGCTGGCGTTGGAAAACACACGCCATCCTTATTCAGTTATCGGGAATCTCCCACTCGTTCTTTTGGATGTTTACGGATACAAAGGAAGCGGTGTTGAGGAATATACAGGATATGCTGCCCCTTAAACCACAACTGCAGTGGTGCTGTATCTCAGGTGTGTTGAAAACCCAGAAGTGCTCAAATGTTCATATCGCACGGTTCATGTCTTGCACAGGTGTCTGAATGTAACGTGGTGGAAAGATGACATGTGCAGGAAATTAAATCATATGGTAATTTAAACCTCACTAGAGACAAAACTTAAAAGGCATCCCTTAAATGGAGGCATAAACAGTCTCATTTCAAAATTAATTTTTGCAAAGGCCAAAGATCTGTTTTAATTAATAGACCTATGCTACAGGCATTGTCATAATGCTATTTTCATGGTTTGTTCCACTAAAATGAAGTCCATACTGTAAATAGCAGAATGCCAGGTCTTGGAGTTCAACAAGGATTTTTTTTTTTACTATATAGCTAAGGAGATATACAAAGTTCACCCTCTCGTGTTTTTCTCACGGAACAGTTATTTTTATTTTTTTACCAAACTATATCATCTTTGAAATATGAAAATGTCAGAAAAGAGAGAACCATTAAGAAAAATCCTTACACATATATAGCACTCCACTCAAAGCACTACAGTAATGGGGACTCCCCTCCACCACACCAATGTGCAGCATCCACCTGGATGATGCGACAGCAGCCATAGTGTGCCAGAAAACTCACCACACACCAGCTCTCAGTGGGGAGGAGAGCAGAGTGATGAAGCCAGTTCAGAGATGGGGATTATTAGGAGGCCATGATTGGTAAAGGCCAATGGGAAATTTGGCACCACTACTCTTTTTGAGACACACCCTGGGATTTTTAATGACCACAGAGAGTCAGGATCTCGGTTTTACGTCTCATCCGAAGGACGGTGCCTTTTTACAGTATAGTGTCCCCGTCACTATACTGCGGCATTAGGACCCACACAGACCACAGGGTGAGCGCACCCTGCTGGCCCCACTAAAAGCCTAAATGTTGAACAGATTCAGGTTTAATGGCAGCCCAGATCTAGAGCAAGGTACATCCCCAACAACACTACTCAGGGCCTCAAGGACACCAGGTGTGCAGTCCCAAGCTGCAGCCCATCGCCCATGGGCGACTCTTTTTTGGTTTCAGGGGAGTCTCAGGTTCACCCGGGGCACCAAGCAAGGTGTATTTTTATTTTAATAACATTGGTTACTCAGATGGGAGTGCTTCAGGTTACACCCATCTTTCAGACAAACTGTCATTGTGAGCTCAGTGAGGAGAAAAAAAAAGCTTTGCTTTTCCAGCTTCTTCTCTCCAGTGTGACAGAATGTTTCTGTGGGTGAGAAAGGAGAAACAGTTCTGGGGAAGAGCCTGTGAAGCCACCTGCAGCCCTCAAGTTGTATTCTGGCAAGCAGCAGTTTCAGGTGTATTAACTCACTGAGCAAGCAGAAAGTATTTTTTTTAAACACAAGCAAATATAAGTTGTTCATTTCCTGTTGGGATTCATCTTCCAATGAGACTATAACACCTTTTTTTTCCTGTAATTTCTACAGACTCCCTTCTGATATTATCGTCATGACACAGCATATGAAAGCAGGAAGATTTTTGAAGGGCTGTTTCTCCAGTAAAAAAAAATGTCTACATGCAATTTTCCCTTGTTGTGAGGCTTAACTTTGGAACCGATAGCCAGGGATAAAGAATATTAAAGAAGTGCACTTAAAGGGAGACTTTACTCCAACAACTACACACAGTAAAATGAACAACAGCCTCCTATGACCTAAGCCTTCAGTTTGTATTTTCCAATAAGTTCCCAAACAAATAAACTATTCTTGTCCCCCTAATAAGATCCTGTAGCTCCCCTTGGCCAGCCTGCTAGCCCATGAAGGAGAGCTGTGCCGTACACCTGGACTCTCAAGATACTTTCAAGGCAAACACGAGCAGCGTGCTAATGATTCTATTATATTAGGCTAAAACAAAAAAGATGCATCACCAGGACCACAGTGCTTTGAACTTTGAAACTCAGGAAATTATTCACATTTTTGTAGGGCATACGCGACAGGAAACCCAGGGCTGTCCCTGGCAGCCCCGATGAACAGTCAAACATTTCATAAGGTCTTAAATTACACGCCTGCCACCCACCTTCAGTGGGTGTGGTTAATTTATTACTGAGGTTAAATTATTTTAAGTATTATATAAAATGAAGTTTAAACACATAATCTGACTGTTTCCCCATACTAATAACAGGGAAAAAAATGAACTTGTGGATGAGCTGCTCTACCTAATCCCTGCCTTCTGCAAATAAAACATCTCATTGTAGAAACAGAAACCTCTTTAGCCAGAGCAACAGGGTTAATCCTTTGAAACAATGTCCAGTCACAGCTAACAGTCCACAGTGAATCGCAGGTGTATCCGTATCCTGCAGCTACAGTATGTGACACACTGTCAGACAATTTGTGGCCCATGACCACACAGCACTTTAATTATGCAATTAACTTTATGTCATAATTAAAATCACTGTTCAAGAAAACTCATTTGTAATACTTAAACTCCACATCAGTGAATCTGACTTTTTAAAAGCAAACATAGTTTTTTTTTTAATCACTTGCAGTGTAACAGCCTGTTTTAGCTGTTCAACGTTAACAGTTTCCTCTTGCCCAGTGAACACTTCAGAGCAATATTTCAGTCATAGAGTGATTAACAATCTGGAACTAGCTGGGGACAATGCAGCTACATCCTTAAGCACACATTTTTAATCTGATTATTCCAGTCTTTTTAACTGTGTAAATGCAACACAGCAGTAGTCAATCCTGCAATGAATCTCTATCCCTCCAGGGGGCAGTCATGCACTCTGATGAGATGTGTCACCTCTTGCCTCTCAGATGGAATATGGACAGTATTTACTAGGTGATTTTGTGTCCAGATGCAGAGTGGGTGGTATGGGGTTGTCACTGGTTGAGTGAAATTAATATTTGGCTGTTTAATCTGCACATGCACAGACTTTGCTCTCTGGCCACAAGGTCTGGGCCTATCCAAGCATCAGTCAGCACACAGATCTCTCCTGGAGCAGCACTCATGTACCGGTTAATATTAACACCAGAAAACCCCAATGGGGCACGTTAATAAGAACTGACGAGGACTGAGGAGGAGGGGGATCTTGTGCTGACGGGTAGCAGCTGGGGACCAGCCTGGTTTTGATGAACCTGTCTTTAAAGAATCTGAGGTTTGCAAAAAGCAGAGCAGGTATTTCCCCAGACACGTGCGTAGATGTGAAAATGACAAACCCGAGATGTACAGTGATCGTACCAGGAAGTACAGTGTGTGAAAAACTACAATCACTTCCTTAGGTTTTTCAGAGAAAAAGTAATGTACCTGCAGAAGAAAATTTAGACCAGATCCGTATTTTTTTCCTGCACTCAAGGGACATGTTGCTTGACTCCTTTCCCAGACAAGGCTTCCTCCTTTTGGGCAACCTGCTTTTATCTCATGTAAAGGTGTTTAGCAAACAGTCCGTAGAAAACCGTCTAGGTTCTCCAGGAAGATGCCGTCAGACTGACCAATAAGAAATGATTAAACAAACAGCCCTGTGCATCTCTAACGGTGCGCTCTGTATATAGACAGATCAACACAAGTTTGGACTCAACGGATCGATGAAGTCTTCCGCTTTGTCCGTCATTTTTGTCCCCTCTCAGCCGAACTCACCGCAATGACGAAGTTGCCCCACGCGAGGAAGGCTTGAAAACAGCGAACGCCGATGTCAGATTTGGCCACCATGTCTTGACCTCAGGCTACCTGCGTGAAGACGGAAGGGAACAGTAAGCGGGAGAAGCCGAGAAGGCGCTGGGGTGAGAGACGAGCAGCTGCACAGACTGCTCCGCTAGCGCGGCTCACTCTCACGGCCTCCACTACCCCCCCCGACACGTCCTGCACTGCCTTCTGGAGCGCTGCACAACAGGCAACAACTACGCAACCCACACCAGGACTGGGAGGCCTCCTGCACAGCCGGAAGAGTGATGTCCAGAATCTGCCAAAGAATCCTGGACGATGAGCCGATGACCTTTTTCTGCTGCTGGGGTGAGGTCGGTCATGGTTTGAAGCAGTTAAAATTGACCCAAAACTGATATGTTTTTTTTTTTTAACAGAACATTTCAGATAAACTACAATAATTAACCAATCAAAAAATTGTATTTCAGCAATGATAATATTCTTGGAGCACCTATGCTGAAGTGGTAACTCATTATTGTCTTAAACAGGACAGGGCTTACATGCTTTGTGACTGTTTCGTTTGGCAATACCAGCAAGCTTGAATAACTTACTACTATTTTTTTTTCCTGAGGAACAAAATAATTTCATACACTTTAATAGGTTCCTACCAGAAAGAGACTATAGCAATCATTTTCCCCGCCAGTGCCTATGGTCCTTGCTCACATGTAATTGAGCCAGACCCCAGAAGATTTATCCAAAGAAAGATTAATGTCAAGAACGCAAAAGCAGTAAATCTTTCAATTTTTAAAACAGCAAAAAAATTGGATATGAAGGCAAGATCTAGGTTAATACCATTCTAAGAGACAGAGAATCACAATTATGAGATAAGTCAAAATTTTCTTTTTTTGAAAAAGCAAAAAAACTTTTTTCTAAAAAATGGCAAGTTTTCCATCCCCTTACAGAACAAGCCATGTTCGGCACTGGTACAAATAATCCAGGTTGTTGTTTTCATTGGCACTGCAGTGACTACGCCAAACAAAATGGTTTACAAAGTTACTGGGTTCCAGGCTTGACCTTAGCACAGAATTAGACACGTAATCATTTTTAATTATCAGCCAAGATAAAACTGTGAATGTCAGATACCAAAATCAAAATTAACATAACTGTCCACTCTTACAAGTCCAACTCTGCAGTGCAGCTCTCTACATTAAACTAAGGAGCCCCACAGATTAAGATCTTCTGCTTTGAGACACCAACAACTCCCCCACCTTGTAAATCGAGATGTTAGGCTATTGATCTGGCCCTTAGAAGTACTGTAAACCAGTATTCTCCAATGCCAATAATTCAAGATTAACAATAAAAGCCCTTCAGGTGAGGTGAAGAGAATCAAACAACAGTTGGTTCTAAGGCTTTAACTATATCCTTTCACGGAGTCCTTTACTGTCCACATACTCAAATGCACACTGTGTGCTTTTGAGTCTGAACAGCGCAATTCAGAGTACATGAGATGCTATAACTACAGCTTTGTCCGTTCTCTGATCTTAGGAGCCTAAGACGTTGCGCAACAACACCGGACAAACGTGGCGGCCTCACTGCCAAAAGCAGAACGCAGCATTCCCTGGGCATCCTCCAGTTATACAGAAACCGGTCAGGCGAGTTTTTTTTATTTTCGTCACCCGGAATGGGTGCGTACCGAAATCCAGGGATATATGGCTACGCCTCTGCAAACCGTCCGCAAGATCACCGAGGAGGGCGAGTGACGGGCTGCCTTCACCCCACCAAGTATGGACTGGAGAGGTGCTGGCCCAAAACAAGGCAGCATCCACACCCCGCCGAACAGAACTTCCACAAAAATGCAGAATGTTGTTATAAGCTGTCAAATGAGCCGTACCACGTCTTTAAAACAGTGTACAATTATATACATAATAAGAACATCGATTCTGATTTATTCCGTTTAGAGTCTGCCTACACCTGGTACAGTATATTTGCAATTTAGCAGCGCTCCTAGACACCCGCACAATTTATTTACCCTCCAGTGACATTTCCTCAACTCTGAAACAGCTGACTGCGCTCCTCGCTAACTCAGCAGTACAGCAAGTAAGCGGAAAACACGACTGCCCTGCTAAATATTTAACTGTTACATTTCATGGTACAGGTGCATTTTTCGTCATTATCCGCAATTATTCTTTGGATATAATTCTTATTATCTAAAAAGTCTTCTGTTTAAGACGAACATTTAAACAGAAAGTCGAGTTATTTTTTTAAACTACTACACTTCACAAAAACAATCTTGTTATATCTGCACAGGAAGGTTATCTGGTAAGAAGTTGACACATAACCAGGTTACAGATAATTGGTACTCCACACAAAGCTAGCTCTACAGTACATACAATACAGGCAAAGATCACCTTCAGGCAAAACCAGCGTTTTGCTCTGCCTTATTTGACACGGAGTGTAGTAACGCGGTGAGTGTGATCTGAAAGGGCAGTTAACGTCTAATAAAATAAGTGAAATGCTTTAGGAAAAAAAGAGTAAACTGTTTGGAAGCTGAAGGCGACGTTAACACAAACGAGGATCTGTAGGCACTTAGTATCTTTTAAGTAAAGTCAATAAATACATAAATATAATCCTTGACGACATATATACAGACTCACCTTTGTTACCCCCAAAAAAACCTGGATGTGTACTGTAAAACACTCTAAATCCCAAAGTGATGCGTCTCGGATATCCTTTGTTGCAGAAGGTGAAAACTTCAACCCACAAACTTTAAGCGACCAAGCCTCGACGTCTAGGGCCTGATTTCGGGTTGGCCAGCGCCGAACACGTGACGCTGGAATAACCTGTTTGAGAAGGCGGCAGGTGGGTCTTCAGCTACCTGCGTAACTAATAGGTAAGAATCATCATCTCCGAAAGATGAATCTACATACAGGTTTTAATAGCATCTTCGATTTTGTTATCAGTTCTGTCTACTGTAGTGGCCGTGACTTTTTTTCTCTCCATAATGCCGTGATATAAAATGTGCTGCCATTGTTTCATAGAAAAACTACGTTTTTGTGCCTGTCACAAGTATTAGGACTCTACACCTAAAAACCGTCCATGCTGTAAGAGGGTGTGGTTCTAATTCATTCTGAGAACACTTAAAAAACTTACATCACAGCAACAGGACATGTTTAAGTATTTATAATTACGATTAAAACGTCGGGGGTTATAATTCAGTGTTTTCTACCGGCAAAAAAAAAAAAAGATAATGTTTTGAAGTCTCGATACAATAATGTTACATCTTATGCACTGCATAAACACGGCTGTTTGAAACGGTGTCTTGGATTTGTAAGCCTGATCATTCCGTCTTGAAATCTGCAGTCTGCTTGCGTTTAACTGAAAGCGAAATGTCCATGCAGCATCTTAATAACTTCCACTTCTACGCTGAACTTCTCTAAAGTTGAAACCCAGTATAATTAGTACTATGAACTCCCTGTAATATTCTACTAAATGAGGAGTGAGCTACTGTACTCTCACAAAAGTTACAGTGAAATCAACTAATCACCTTTTGTGTTCTATGAATTAAGCACACAGCAAGAGCCAACATTTAGCTCTTTAGGCCTGTTCCTGGGTGTTTTGTAGCCAAACCACGGTAGTAATTACAGATGGTGACCTTTAAAAGCTGAGGATGTGATTCAGGCTCTCTTCACTGTCAGATCAAATATGGACATGTGCAAACTCCTTACTCACAATTGCCAGGCAAAGTTAACTGATCTGTGACCTACTTATTTCAGAAAAAAAGATTTAAGATTAAATTTTAATTATAAGGATGCTATCTTTAAAGCAGATTTAAAGAAAAAAAAACATGATACTTTTAAAGTAACAGAAGTTTTATCCCGTGAAGTAATTTTGTCGTGTAATGCTTTTTTCATTACAGCAAAATGTATTTTGTTGGACATGTTTTTTTTTAAATCATCTATGCGTTTCTGGAGCCAACAAGATGTAATATGTAAGACATCATATGCATTACGAAACTCATTTTATTTCTTCAGATTTATTTGGAAGATATAGATTTATCGTAATGGCAATAAAACTAGAGAAAGCTGTCAGTCATCATGTTCACAAATTAAAAAGATTGTAACTACCCAAAAGAGTAACTACAACAACAACAACAACAACAACAACAACAACAACAACAACAACAACAACAATAATAATAATAATAATAATATGACAGCATTATTTTACAGATAATGTAATTATTTCCATCATGGGAAACATGACTGCTACCTTTGTTATGCCTTAAACATTGTATTACGATATAAAGCACAAATCTCAGAATCACTCCATGTCACCCAGTAAATTTGGTGCATCAGGTGTAAGTCACCTGTAACTGCCTTTGCCAGAAAGAATGTTTCAGTCTGGATCTGCAAAATGTTTGTTTTAAAAAAAGATTACCGTCTGTGATCGTAGCTGTAGAATGTCTCTCAACAGTCATTTGGGTGGATGGGTTTATCATTGTATTCTAGGGCAGCTTCTATGTTGATAATAATTAGTGACCACTTTCACATAACAGACCAATAAACCATAAAACTTCTGTTTTAAATCAGGGACATCAAATTATTTACCACCTGGTTTGCCATGGTATAATAATATATTCTTGTTAAAACATTAATATTCCACTTAATCATTATTTCAGATCAATACAGTTCTCAAACAATAGAATACTGTATGGTTGTTTCAGATATTGATTAATTTCTTCAGCAGTTAAGTGATTTTTCAACTCATTGATAAACATTCAGTATCCAATAATTGAACACAAAATGCAAAAAGTGAAGATTTTAAACTATTTTATTTTATTTTCCAGCAACCTACAGTAATCGTTCAAAATGAAACAAAGGAAGTAATGAGGCAAATAAGAGAATATCTATATCAATTAAACACAACTAAATGTTTCATAACAGATAAGGGATGAGTCTTTTTATTAGGTTGTTTAACTGTTACTTTTTTGGAACTACTGAAACAGCACTCCCAATATTTGCAGTTCTCTGCCACAGCTTTAGATTAAAACTCTGTTAACTCCTGTAGCTTTTCCAGCAAAGTCTGCTTAAATAAATCTTCACACTTGAGGGAAAGTAGTCTGGTGTAACTTCTGAAATGCTATAGTGTTTGAAGCACAGATGGATTCATCAATGGAACAAATAAAGGTTTATTCCTTGTTGAAAAGAGAAGAAAGGAAACACAGCATTTTTGCTGCGGAGTCTTCTTCATGTGCCCTTCTTTACACCCAAAGAAGACTCCACAGCCAAAACGTTGTTTCCTTTCTTCTCTTTTCAACATGGAATAAACCTTTACTTGTTCCTTTGCAGCCTACGCATGCTGACGCAGCTACTGTACCTACTTGAACTACTGGATTTATCAATGGTAGTTTCTCAAATTGCCCACTACATTTCAAGGAGCTCCATGATCATTTGGTGTCTCAGGTCTAACAAAACAAAACAGAAGATTTTTGCAATAATCTGAACTCTTCCATGTCCCTTACTTGAGTTTTCTAGCAGTGTACTTGGGACTGTTCTCCATAGCAGTGCCTCACAATGGAAAGTCATTCTGACCCTGAAGATATGTCCTTGTTCTTTTAACAAAAGCGAATCACCCAGTCAACAACCTTAATAGCATCGTGTGACATTTTTCTTCCCCTCTGTTTCATAGCAAGCATTTTTTCAGAATTTGTCTCAATAAGTAAGCTGTGGAGCAGGATGATGGTGTGCTTTTTTTATTTTTTTTATTCCCAGTAAATTAAAACTGAGCAGAGGTCCTGTATTTAATAAATAATGATTTCTCATGCTGCCTTATGCAAAAGCTAATAAAGACCTGAATTAAATCACAAATGACTGATCTTTTTTCTTGATTTAGTGAATGGTTATGACTGCACATCATCTTCGGATGTTTTTTCTGATTCCTGCTTGTTTCTGATCTTCATTTGTACCTGTGATAAAGAACAAAGAGGATGGTTAAGAAGAGACACCTTTAGCTTATTAATTTTTCTTTTTCTTTAATTTGTCATCATAAAATGTAAACATAGTCCTTGGCATCATGATAATAGAAATATAATAGAACAAAAAGTATATTTTAATGTATTTTTCTTTTTAAATAAACAAGACAACCTTTCTCTTCAAGGTGGTGCCTTATTCAGGCATTGAAGAGTTCTTGATTTGCCTGAAACTGGGCTTGGAGACATTCAAAATGGGTTTACAAAGAACTGATGTTCATGTTAGCAGACAAAGGGGGACTCAAAATAAAGATTACATTCTTCAGAGCAAGACTTTTGGGTGAGATGGCAGAGATAATTTCTGCTATTGGTTCTGTTTTGCTCTCAGTTCTTCCTCAGGGAGCCTGTACCAATATGAATTAACCGTCCTCTTTGTTCTGTTGCCTTTTTTTAAAAAAGTGATATTTTAATAGTACTCGAAAGTGAGGTGCTCTTCCAAGATTCCATGGCACATATAAAATACTTCTCTGTGAACCACTAAGAAAAAAAAGGCTAAGAACCATATATATTCATGAAATTTGTCTACTTAAATTTAAATTATGCCTCTTTGAAAGTTGTATAAGATGTATTGCATGGTTAGTGTTCAGCATTTTCAATTTTACAATGACAAACCTCCCTTTAAAAGGCAATTAGCAGACATTTTCTTCACTGGATCCTAGTTTAGGAAACGTTTTTCTTTCCCCTCTGGGTATAGCCTGCTTTTATCATTATTTTCCCGAATTATTTTAAATACTGCAGTTATGATTATTGTGTACCACATAACCTCTCCATTGTTGGGACAACTCATCCAACAACTGGCAAACGTATTGGTAAAGTACATCCATTTAAGCACATATCAGCTGGTCAACTGCGGGACCGAACTGGGATTTGTGATCAGCATCACCTGTAAACTGCTTTTGGGGAACCGAGCATCAAAACATCTCGTGGTTGTGATGCTCAGCAAGAGGCAGCTCTGGCTTTATTTCATACTTGAAGATTTTTAGTGTTTCTTTCTGGGCAACAGAATCAACTGAAAGACAATTTAATGGGACATTACAGTATAAACACCAAACTAGGGGACACTGAGTATGGAAAAAACTGAGTTTTACAATAGGCTTAACAGCAGGGTTCCTCAATTCCAGTCCTCAGGGGCTGACGTGTAGCAGGTTTTCTGGCTCTCTTTAATTCAGCTACTATACATCTTAAGACTGGAGGAAAGAGTAAAATTGTTCCAATTAATGAGAGACCGTAACCTTTATCTACAGGCCTGTTTTTGTTTGAAAGACCTGAGATTCAAAGGGTGGCTCATTGCAGAGGCACTGAACATTTTAATTGGTGCACCGTTTCTGTTGCAAGTAAAAAAAACGAACTCCGCCGGAAGATGTGTTAATCAAAAAATTTGATTCCAGTATGAATTGCCAAGAAATGATTGTGAAGAAATAATCTTTCTTTATGGACGAATCTCAATGCTACTGCTACTTAAAATGCAGTCCTTGAAATTGCCACATCACTCACATTGAGGTGAGGCAAGTTCACATTTCTTTTGTGTCTAATTACTCACAGATTAGTTACGTCACAGAAAAAGGGTGAGGAAAACATCAAATAACAATATATGAAACTTATTGTAAATCCTTAGTCGCTTTTGACCTGTCCCAACAAAGTCCCATGCAGTTAAAACAGAGTTAAAATGTCTAGTGCAATACAGAGGCTGCTAAGAGGTCACAGATGCTGTCTAAATAGATTCAGAGTCAGGTTCCCAAATGGTCTCACAGACCTAGCAGTTGCAAAATCTACTAGTTAGCTCATTCCACTGAGCAGAAGGGTGAGAGGGTATGAAGGGTGAGAGAGGGTATGAAGGGTGAGAGGGTATGAAGGGTGAGAGAGGGTATGAAGGGTGAGAGGGTATGAAGGGTGAGAGAGGGTATGAAGGGTGAGAGGGGGATTGAAGGGTGAGAGAGGGTATGAAGGGTGAGAGGGGGTATGATGGGTGAGAGAGGGTATGAAGGATGAGAGGGGGATTGAAGGGTGAGAGAGGGTATGAAGGGTGAGAGAGGGTATGAAGGGTGAGAGAGGGTATGAAGGGTGAGAGAGGGTATGAAGGGTGAGAGAGGGTATGAAGGGTGAGAGGGTATGAAGGGTGAGAGAGGGTTTGAAGGGTGAGAGAGGGTATGAAGGGTGAGAGAGGGTTTGAAGGGTGAGAGAGGGTATGAAGGGTGAGAGGGGGTTTTAAAATTGGACTTAAATGGGAGCCAGAAGAGGAGCTGGTGTAATAGAGAAAGATGGGAAAAGTGTGGCGAAATCCTGGATGAGTCGGATCCTGGGGAATAGCAGTGTCTGGGAAGCAAGCAAAGAGGGAGTTACAGTAGTCTAGGTGGGGGAATATCAGGGTCTGCAGTAGGAGAAGTGTAGAATAGTTTGTAAGGAAAGGGCAGGTTCTGTTAATATTGCTCCAGAAGAAGCAGCAGGAGAGACGAGAGGCTCAAGAGATGGAATATGCTGGGAACAGGAGAAGGAGAGGTCAGGAGTGAAGCAGAGGAGGACAGTGACTAGAAAGGTAGAGACGTTAAGAGGAAAAGAGATGGACCGGTCCACAGTGGAGGAGGAAGATAAAGCAAATAAAAGGAGACCAGACCTTGAGAGGTTGAGTTTAATATGATGAAATTTTATTTTGGAGGAGAAAGCTGAGATACAGGAACATATACGGGATGAGTATGCAGTGGCAGGAAAGGAGAGGGTATGAGCATCATGAGCATAAAAGCTGATACTGTACACAACAGAGAGGATGAGGGAGGCTCAGGGACAGAACAGAGAGAAAGCTTTACCCACTGTACAAGAAATGATAAGGTCAGAGAGTGCTGACAGGAGATTATTAGGAGATTAAGATAACTCAGTATCAAAGGTGACAGAGTTCGTGATAGATCAAGGCAAAGAAGAGAACCAGCCATGAATGGGCTGTTGTGTCCACTTAGTTTTTCTGGAGTTCTACGGCACAGCTGTTTATACCTCCTGACCAACAGAGTGAAGTCCTTCTGAAGATGTGTGCTCTTTCGGAAAACCCAGCATCCCCTTTCTTCACAGGGTAAAAAAAATATCTGTTTCCAGGAAGGCAGTGCATTACTTTTTCTACATCCAAGTTGTGCTTTTTTAAATCTGAACACTACAGGAGCCCTGAGAAGCATCAAGCGAAAATACGCACAGCATTTACTTTTAACCTCTCAGCATATAATAATGGAACATGTCATCACCACATTAAGACTGCCTTTGTATACCACTACCATTTGCTATTTTAAGGAAACCTTCCCCTGTCTCCTGGCTCATTAAATAAATAAAGGATATATAATAGGAATGCTTTTTTTTCCCTTTAAAACAGAGAACATTCAGCTTTTAACAAAACGTGCTGCTGCTGCACCAGCAGCATAGAATTTCGTTAACCTGTGTAGAAATATGAAATAAAAAGTTTCACATTGTCTTCTTAGTTCAATTAACTCTGTGAATATCTGAGAGAAAAATGTGATTTGAAGTTAGTACAGTGCTATTGGATCTTGAACTTCAAAAATGTATCACAGGCTAACACAATTGCTTTCACACTCCCATCACTAATGACTTCATATAAGGAATTCAAGCTGGTCACATCACTTGACAATATCATTGGTGTTATTGCTGTGGTGCCGAAGAGTTGGGGTAAGTGTATAAACCCAAGTTAGTATTTTCATGTGTTTTATCAATAGTTAGCCACACTATGTACTGCAGACTAGGCTTGGCATTAAGATAGAATCCTCATCACCATCTCTCTCTGTGTGTGTCAGAGGCTTCTTAAATCTATCCAATAGCAAGCTGCCATCAAGCACTGAGTTGAGGAATTTTCCTTTTGCTGGATGAGTTAAAGGCCACTCTCCCTTGTGCTCAATTAGTGTACCCTGCCTTGCATCAAGAAAGAAACCTGTCTTATTACTGTACATTTTATTATTACAAGGAGAGACTGACTAAAGGGCTGGGCAGGTGTATTGGTTTTGAAACTAAGAGAATGGCAGAAGAATATCAGGGCGAGCCTGCGGACTTTAATGCTTAAAAATAAATAGCTGACCTCTTTGACTAATCCTAACATATATTATTTAACATACAATTTGACAGAAAAGAAGGGGCTACAGAATATCAATCTGTGTAGCTGAAATAGATCAAGATCCAAAGAAAACCCACCTATCATCAAATCCTCTTAAAATTGTTTATTATTATTTACTTAAATGTTTTAAATGACTGGGAGAATTAACACATTCTGACATGATATCCTTTTCCCCAAAGTCTGAGAAAGACATTAAATATAACTAAATATTAGATGGCTTCAAAACTTCAACCATAATTTTAGATAATTTGTGTAAAGAAATCATGAATGTGTCAGAAAGCTAGTTAAAGCTAGCCTTAAAAGACAGAAACATACAGCAGGCCCAAAGACATGTCTAAACATCAGAGTTTTCAGTCAAAACAAACTTTAGAGGATCAACTTTTTAAAAAAAATAATTCTTTTTTTTGTCAGACTTTTCCCAGGTTGTTTTTCTGTGGAGCAATTAGTCATTTTGAAGTCAAAAGCCTTATGGGCAACAACATTTACTCTGTAGGTTTCTTACTCATACTCATTACAGAGATGTCCTTGAAAACCTAACAGTTTGATTATGATGAGGTGCTTGGTATAATTATGTGCTCTTAATAGGGTTTAATGTAATTAGGAACCAACATATAGTAGTCTTATATCAGAGGTAAGGTTACAACCGAGAGCCTTTTAATGAGTTTGAAGCTTGCTTTCAATTGGTATGATGAAAAGAAAGTCTGTTTGAAGTACAGGTTCTTTTTTAATTTTAGATGGTAATTAATAATTAGTAACGGTCGCACTTCAAAATAAGATTTACAACACAGAAAAGTAAACTTGGCATATTTTTTTTTCAATGCAAATTGAGGTGCAGTAATTCAGAGTTTTTGCTGGACAGGAGCTTCTAACAAGCTGCTTGTTGGTTCCCAAAGACCACCGATGCTCATTAAACTGCACGGAGAGCAAAACTCCTTTGAGTTCAGAAAGAAAATAAATGAATAATCAAACTTAACCTGTTCTAACATAAACTGAAGAGGATCCTCAGGCCTCTTGAAAACCAAGTTTTCTGTCATCTCCTGTTGATTAATGAAAGAAAAAAACAAGGCATTATTGAGGGAAAAAATGTGCTGTACTGTGACTCATTATTGTCCTTTTACATAATGTTATTCAAATACAGAATAATTCAGAATATTTCATCTTTCCATACATTCCCGACAGGAATCCAATACATAATAGGCCATGTTTTCAAAATGTAAAGCTAATAAAATATAATAAAGAAAAAAATACATTTGCAATAGACTTATTTTTTCCCATTTGGAAAACAATTAAAAATAATATTGTGTGTGGGAGGTGTGCCCATTAAACAGAGACCTTGACCTTTTGCGCTTCTCTCCAGAAAGGAGGAAAGCCACATGACATCAGAGCTGGTGTCCTTAAGCAGGGGCAGAGGCTTAGAGCTGGGCGTGTGTGCCCTCAATGGACGCCACACCTTCAGCATATTCTGAAGAGCATGACGAGGCCCAGGTGCCTCAGTGACCCGAGAGCTGGTGCTGCGCAGTACTGGCACACACCCTGGAATGCAACCCTGGGCTGTTCCACGCCAGCAGGTGATGAATCCAATTATTCTGACACGATACAGGGAGGTCACAATCACCAAACGCCCACGTGCACCGACATACTGTACCCCTCCACCCTGGATACCCAGCAAAAGAAAACAAACAAACAAACAAACAAACAAACAAACAAACAAACAAACAAACAAACAGGGGACACAGCCTCATCAAAATAAATCCACCCGCGCATTTTACAACAAACCCCATGCTGGGAATCGGTGTCCAAAATGTTTTTTTTATTTTGAGTTAGATTTTATTGACTGCATAGAACATTTTCCCCCTGCCATCCAAAGGCATACTGGTAGGTTAATTGGCTTTTGAGAAAACTGGCCCTGGTGTGAGTGCGTGTGCGTGTGCCCATTATTGCCAGAATAAGCCCGGCTCTCCTGTGACCCCATTTTGGATGAAGCATTGAGAAAAGGCACGGATGGCTATAACATAGAAAACACTGAGCTTCGAGCCTTATTCTGTGCAAAACACTTAAGCCGACGTTTTTATGTTGACACGTCATTTGTATCACCTAGATAATGTGGGGAACCAATATAACATACAAACAGAACAGTGGGATATGTCGTGAACAAAAGCCAAATTGAAATCAAGGGTGTACAAATGCTGTCAACATGTAATGAAAAAGATATCGCTACTCTGCAAGATGGACCAAATCAATCTGCGAGCCTACAGATGTCCTCCCCCGCCACTGACAGGCTAACAGAACTGAACATTATTCATAGTCTTGAACAAAGATACAAACTCTGAGGGGCCCCGATTCAAATATTCAATTTTCCTCACATATTCACCCTGACTCTTTCGAGACATGGTTGGATGAGATCCTTCAATCACTTAAGAAACAGCCCCCCAAACGCTTGGGCCTCCACTCAGCTGCCTTCCTTGTGATCTTCCGTTTGTGGACAGTTTAGCTAGATGGCCACTGGTGTCCAGGCTGGAACTATGTTCCCCACCTGAGTTTTACCTGTACCTGAAAGATCTGGAGGATGTTATGCTTCTCCATGTACTTCACCGAACGCTCATAAGGGTCTTCGTATGGTGAGATGCCTTTGGTGCTCAGGTCCGACGTTTCTGTTATCAAGACGTTTGCTGTGGGGTCTGTCTGTGCCATCTGAGTCGAAGAGCAGAAAGGGGTTTATACAGGAATGTCCAGCTTTTGTCCAGTAGAATCACAACCCAGGAGTGGCTACAGGTCAAACTGACCCCACTACTTCCTTGATTGTCCCCAATGGGAAATTTGCTTTGCAGACAGGCAAAATACACACTGTAATGTGATACACAATAGACTTAGCACAACACGAACCTTTGACAAATAAAACAAATACATGCATAAGAAGAAAACATAAGCTAGAAGCAATTTAGAAAGATAAATGACAATGCGGGGTCATCAGTGTGTGAGATAGATCCATAAGATAAATGCATGATGAATAAATTAAGTAAAATATAACAGTTGTCCAAATTAAGCAGGTTATTAGCTGTGGGAATAAACAATAACTCCGTGTTATTACGGAATTTTGAGCAAACTAGCACATTCAAGTAAATATGTTACACTTGCTTATGGAGTGAAATCAGGTCTTTAATACAAAATTAAAAATACCCATTGAAGGTGTAGTTAGTAAAATACTTTTGACCAACAGGAATGTAAGTAGTAATAATAATAATAATAATAATAATAATAATAATAATAATAAACTTTATTTTATATAGCGCCTTTAAAGGTGGCTTCTCAAAGCGCTTTACAGGATGACAATAACAATAAATAAGAAGACTACAACAATAAATAAGAAGATTTCACAAGATAGGACACAATTATAATTACAACAATACAACAATAACACTAGAGGAGACCGTGGAAGATGGTATTAAGAAGAGCAGAGGGGTGAAGAATGGAACCAGTTCAGTAAAGGCTTTTCTGAAGAAGAAGGTTTTGAGTCTGGATTTGAAGGAGTTTAGAGAAGTGGCCCAATCATTTAAACCTAACCTGGTAAGTTTTAAATGTGAACTTGCAAATTTAACCTTTCAAGAGGAGCAAAAGTGCGAAGCGAACAGGGCCAAGACGTACAAGTTAAGAAGCAGCAGGTAAGATTTATTTCTGTGGAGACAATTCCAGTAATTCTAGTATGTCAACAGGCTGGTTTATTAGTTTCGTTACCGACATCGGCCTACTCGCGTACAGATTCAAGTGGGCATCTGGAAAAAAACAAAACAATCTCCAACGTTTAGGTTAGTGTATATCAAGAACAGAAACAATGTTATTTAAAGACCCGTCGAATCCACGTTTTCAAGCGCCGACGTCCTGTCCTGTACACCTGCAGTGAACTGTGATCACGTTACCGTAAGGCGCGGTGATCAATACCCTCCACTCCAACGCACCTTTCAACGGGACTGCTCTTTTATGTACGCGGGCGTCACTGTCGTCCTTTTCAGAGAGATAGATTGGGGGGAAAAAAAAGAAGAAACTCGTAACTTTAAAAGACGGATATGGCGCTGTGCAACTGCACGGTATCCACGCCTGTCCCCACGGACTTCACGCAGGCGTTCGTTGCCCCAGCAACAGTACAACAGCGAGTGTGCCGTCACGTGTCGGACTGACGTAATCGAGTGTGTATTTTAATCAAAAGCATTGTTTGGGGGGCACAGGAGAAACGTCCAATAAATCACAGGTCTAGGCATGCTAGACCCAGTTTTCAGGGTTTCTCGTAAACTGCTAAAAAAAAAACCAAGAGCAAACCTGTTTCTTGGAAAAAAAAATCAACTTTGTGTCTGTCCAAGCTACAGTCGTACAATAAGACTTAAAAAGCATCAGAAATTATAATTTATGCATGAAGTGCCTCTCCAAAAGATTTTAATTTCCTGCTAGCTCGTATGAAATATGCATTTTCCTAGTACATTACATTCCGTTATTCACATCGAACTCTTACTGCTAATGTTTAAAGACGTTTAGCAATTTTTTTTTCCTATTTCTAATCATGGGACTGGATGCTCTCGAGGATGTCTCGGCATGTGAAGAAGAAATTTAAATTACAAAAAACAGGTCTTTCGACCAAATTATCTCACAACGCTGTGAATTACATGTCGGTATAGAATGCGATGTGGATTGTTGATCTGAACTAACACACCAGTCGACTCAGTTTCTAATCTTTATGTAAAACGTATGGCATTCATCTGTAAAATCAAGGCGAGTTTTATACAGTATACAAAAATACATGGCTCTTTAGCTTATTTTGAGCACAAGAGCACGATTTTTCTAATGGTATAAGAAAAATGTACCAGCTCATACAGTGTGTATATGTTTGCACCGGGACGTAGGGAAGCCCTTACAAGACAGTATATCCCTGTCGGCCTGTCCACCAGTTTAACTCTGTCCTTCCAGTTAAAAAACTGTAAATCGCGTTCACTTGTTTATAGGAAAGCGGCGTTAATTCCACGGCGAAAGGCAGAAACAAAAACACAACGTTTCGGCCGTGGAGCCTCTTCAGGTGGGTTTTAACCCGTGTTTTGTCGGACAAAATGTGACGGCGTCCTCAAGATGGCTTTACGCGGGGAAGCAACAGTAACATCTTTACATTTATTTTGTCTGGTTAATTGCACTGGGAAAACTACAGTCAAAAGCATCTGGCGATGTGATTAGGCTGCAGACTTCAAAGGCGCTCTTGTCAGCCTGGCCATATGTCTGCTCAACACACCCACCAACACGAGTTTGATATCGAGACTTCTGGGCTCCAGCTTCCTGCGTGTTCAGAGCAGAACTCCTCTGCGCCTTCTCGTGCCGCAGGACGGCAGACACGTGTGGACCGAAGCATGAGGGAAGACGCGGCTTATTTATTTTTAGATTGGCTTAAAAGACCGTGTCTGCTCTCCTTCAGATACCCCCCAGAGGTCTGGCCACATGGCGCAGCCCTGCCATGTGTCAGACCGAGCGGTTTCCTAAAGAGAGTGTCGTGTCTGCCGTAAAGGCACACAGTACTTCTAGGCTCGGGGTGATACACGACGGGTCTGTGGGTGGCTCTGGAAACAGAGTCAAATACTAAATATGAAATCGATGCTCTCTTGCCCTTCTCTGCTCCGGTGGGAAGATGTCTCTCCGGATCTTTAGTCCGCACGTTAAGCATCCGCCGGTCAAGCGAGTAGCAGCAGAATACGATCAATGTATGGAGGACGCAGCAGGGTTGTAACGGATGTCTAAAAATAACGGGAGATTTTCCCCTTGAGCTCAACTGGCCGGGTCCCCGTTGAGTGAGGCTGGAGGCCCGGGTTCAAGTCCCCGACGGTGGGGGTCCGACCTGTGGCGCTAGCGGCGAGGGCGCATACCCCCGTGAACCTGGGAGCGCTACACTAAGACTATACCTGAAAAGGTTGCTAAGGTGGTCTTAAATAGACATGCGTTTATCTAAAGAGACATCTTTATCGGAAACTAGAAGAATGCAAGATATCGGGAGGCTAGACCGGCCTGAGAAGGTGGTGGCTTCAGCTTCTGTAGAAGGAAAGCTGTGAGCCGCAGAGCGGTCAGGGTGGAGGGTGCTGTTACACCCTGAACCAGGCACTGAGATGGACAGGTTTCTCAGACGTCTGCTCTTTATTGTGCAGGTCTTGGAACGGACAGAGAATGGCGGACACCCGCCGGGCACCTACTGTAAGGAACGCAGTGGCCCCCAGACTTAAGCGCAACAGCGCCGTGAGCACAAGGGGGCGCTGGGTGCGACATGAGAAGTGTCATCTTTTTCGTACACCGTCCCCACGCCCAGACACCAGAGTACAGGGCAGCTGGAAGAGCTGTGTTCGTGTTCGTGTCTTTCAAAACTACTCGGGCTCTGTCTCCAGACTGATCAGAGCAACAGATCTAATCTTTTTCCTCCCGTTTTTAAGTAGTCGCCTGGGATATGGGAGTCCCCCATATCTTGCATGACACTTCACAATTGCCATGTATTAACTTTCATCTCTCCCTCAGCACGGAGCATTTATTGAATTAGTTAAATATTCAGTTCCTCTCTGCCTCCAGTGCTTGTATTATTGGGATAAATCAGAACTTCTGAATCTCTCAACAGCTTAATGATGTGACTGCCGGAGAGTAATTGATGATAACTGGGTAATGTACTACTCAGTCAGTCATTCCAGATCCGTTAGCACCACAATTGTATTGATTTTAGGTACCTGGTTGTGCACTGTTAACGGGATTCTTTGTTTTTTTTTATCCAGGTGAATGGTGTGTAATTCACAATTCTGCATTTCTGCTCTGCTACTACACAACTGTGTTTCTCAAATGAATGATATCCACCTTCCTAATTCTGTTCTGGCACCATTGGACATTCACTTTTTTTTGCTGCATGTTATTCTGTCTATTTCTGTGCCATTGGACACATTTGATTATTCATTCAAATTATTTTAATCCTCATTAGCAATTACTGTATTAGAATGCATGAGACATAGTAAAACCTACTCCACGGAAATAACTAAATATGCAATAAATCACACAGTGGACACAATATAGTTTCATTCATACTGGTGGCATGTGTCTACAAAAGCACACCAATCTTTGCTAAAAGTTAAATCTCTTTGGATCTTCCTGTTGTTGCTTTGCAGAAATCCCGGTGATACAGAGAGAAATCTCATTGGATCAACGGACCTAAGAGAATGAGAGAAAGGTGTTGGTTACCATTTTGTTAGGGTTTGAGTGGTCCGTGAACTCATTTTTTTTAGCTCTAGCAGGAAAGACTTTTTAAACTGCAGGTAGATTTAAAACAGTTTCTGAACGATAAACAAGAGAGTGTGTGTGTCTAACATATCCTGTAACAGGATGTGAATCGGCATCTCTGTTTCTGATTTTAAAGACCTCTCTAAATCCAGACTTCAGACTCGATTCTGACCACTGCTCATCGGTTCCCAAGCCTGCTCCTCAGCACTCCCACACCTGCTGTTTTTTATTCCAAGTGAGCTCTCAGATGTGCAACTGAACCCTTTATTGCCTTAATAACAGGATTCATTCTAACTGTTTGGCTGTTTTGTTTCTTAAACATGTACTTTTCGGAGGTTTCCTTGTAACCATTGCATTTCATAAATAAAAGAAAATCCCAGGTTTCTGCATAGAGGAAAAAAAAACTTTCAAATCAAGCAACTTTTTCATTCCATTAAGGCTTCAATGTGGTAATTAAGTTCAGCTCGAATGAAACCCAGCAGGTGTGTGGCCTCCAGGAACCGAACTGGAAACCCTGCAGCTAAGGCAAAGTTCACAAAAAGAAATCCTGAAGTTTTTAAGCTGATCTTTGTTTTTTGCACTTTCTGTCTTTTTGGCTGCGAGATGTCCGGTTGTTTTCTCCCTGACACATCCCCTTGAGCACGGTAGATGCATTTTTCCGCTCGAACACTTGGTACATTCAGGCACCGTAGAAAAAGTAAAACCCTCACAAAATATTTACACTTGGCTACCCTTCTGCAACCACCCTGTTAGTTAAAGTTAATATCATCCAACAGCAATCTCCACTTAGTGACCGCCCACTCAGACAGCATCTCGCCCCGGCATCAATCACCTGGTAATGTTCCATTGATCTGACACCACAGAAATCCAATTCACTGCTTCACACACAAGAGAGTAACAAAAAAATGTATTTCTGTAGCGAAACCATCTATGCTCTGTCGAACGATCCATGACGCACAGATCCTTTTCAGATGATTTTATCCTGGTAAACAGTCGGAGCCGAGTCACAGATTACAGTCTGTACGAAGATAGAGGAATATCTAAAATATATTTTTCTATGCGTATGTGTGTGAGAGTACACAGGGAGATTTGATTATTTTACTTTGGTCAATGTGTTCTGCTGGCCAGTAAGGTTTATTTTCATCAAGCTGTTTTTTCAATGGAAATAGGTTGCGGTCACATTTCTGCTTTTAAACACCAGGATTTAAATCCTCAATCACCTCAAAGTTTGGCCAGTCTGCAGGAATCATATACACAAGATGATCTTGCTAATTACTGTATAAATCCCAGATTATCTGAGTTCCATGAATGCAAATGAATTTGGTTCATTCGTGTTTCCTTGTTAGGGTGCTCCATTTCCTTTTTTGTTGCTTTAATATGATAATTAAAGGGCAAATTAACCCGAAGAAACATTTTATTTCTTTCTAATGGATATTCAGTGTTCTTGGTCATCCAGCTAGGTGTATCATATGTCTCTGTTTTCTGTGAGATTGTCAAATTAGTATTTTGTGTTGCCATGAAAATGCCCAAGGACATTTAAAGAAGAAAGTTAATTTGAATAATCTAAAAAGAAAATCACATTGTTCTGAGAATACTGAACCCTGACTAGCAGTGGTTTCTACAATTTTGAACACTCCATAGTTGATACAGGTACTTTTTGGATAGCTGTGTGCATGAGATTTAGAAATGTGAGATGGAATCAGCGAAGTATGTTAACTTTAATAGCATCCAAGGTTTCAGTGCAGAAACAGCCATGATTTATTAGCTTCTCTAATCAGAGAGAAACACAACACTGCCTGTCGGACAAGATCCTATCAATACCTGTGGGGACCAGTTGCTTCAGGCGATTTCCTTAAACACTG